GAAATTTGGCCATTTCCAACGGATTTACCCGTTGGAAATGACCATTTTTTTTTGTAGTGATTGGGTTTTCGGTTCACTTAATCCTCTAGAGTTCGGAGTCTGCTTTTAGTTACACAATTAGTTGCGTCCCCTCCTCTTCACTAGTGGAATCAATCCAAGTCCTCGAAGTGACTTTCCACTTCTTCTATTCTTTCCACTTTGACAGCGAAGATTTCATCTCTCTCATTTTCACCCCTAAGTTTTTTTTTGGGTAAAAATGTGAAGTATATTAATATATAAACTGTTTACAAATCGGTATTAACTGAAAGCGGATCAACTAGACAAAATAGAAGAACCCATGGAAAATGGTAACCAAAGCCTTGTAAAGGGATACAATCAAAAGGTGTTGTTGGAGAGACTCTATAGATAATATCAGTCAGTAGCGAGGAATGTTGATTCCGGTGTTGTCGGAGTGATTTTGAATTAATTTACCGCATTACACATCGGAGAGGTTTAAAAGGTTGTTCGAAAACGTCTAGTATTTTGGACCGATTGATATCTATATTTGTTTGTATATGATTTCGAATCTTTCCAAAGAAAATGCAGATCTTAATCTCTAAGGGGCTCAAATTAAAAATATGCAAAAGTTGGGGCAATTTGTTGACAAAAAAAATCATAACTTTCTTTCAGTTGATAACTCCCTTTCGTTAAGAAGTTGAACGCTTGCCTGTTATTGCAAAATCACCCATTTGATTGTTTGTTTTTCGAAAACAGGGCGAGAACTTCTTGGTCGTAACTCACAAGTCCATTATCCGTGCATTGATATGTACGGCACTAGGGCTAGGCCCGGAAAGGTATACACACATATACACATATATATATAATCTAAACGAACATACAAAATTAATATACTTCTCTATCATTGAAATCGTATATTTTTTTTTTAATTTTCATGGAGAGTTTCCAGACATGCGATCTATTACGTCCTCTTCCTTAATCATAATTATCTCTACTATTACTTACGTCTTCGTGTTTTGATTCATCGTTAATTTGTTTATTATTTTGTCTTTTTGCTGCAATCTTTCATTAGGTTTCGAGCCATAGATGCGAACAATGGGAGCATATCGGTGTTTAATTTCAACGTAAATGGAGAAGCCATGCTCCACTCTCTCAACATGACGGTCCACATGTACACCGATCATAAATACATATACTGATACTAAATTCCCTTTGCATCCCTTTTGATTACCCAGGTGCGAATGCTCGCGTAAGGGTGAAACAGCCATTTCACAAAAACATTTGATAGCGTTTTTTATTGCAATTCAATTCCTATATTCAACGTAAATTTAACATCGACAAATTGCAATTCAATGTAAACCTATAGATTTTTATTGCAAAAAAGAAAAATGCTTGTTTAAATTTAACATCAACAAATATAAAATGTTAGGAGAAAACTAAAATATACAATGATCAATTTTATGCACTGAAAAGGAAAATAATGAAATAAATAATGGATAAAGAGTTGTAACGGGTTAATAAGAAAAAGAGTTGTATCGAAAACTTTTTAATTATAATGCAAATACTGCTTTACAATAAGAATGTCAACATTGTTTTAGATATCTAAATGTTCTTGCGATTTTGGAGTTAAGTATTATGAATATATATTAACTTATCTTATACCATTTGTATTTAAAATTATCAATTTTATTTTAATATATTTATCTAAAATTTTGTCTGCGTGTATATAGAGAATCAATGCGAAATATGAAAATAGAAAAATAAAATTACATATAGCAAATACAAATGAAAAAAATGAATCGCGTAATGATCATTTGCGTGACGAATTTTAAATTTGTAATTCGATACACAACGTATCTGTATTTATACAGATGATATAGTATCGGGATCGATCACATGGAATTATATGGTTAAAGTTATTAATCGACTAAAACTAGAAAAATGGAAATATGCGTGTAGTTTTTTTATCTATGAATAAATAAATAAACACAGGGGTAACAAAACAATCAAAAGGTATAGACAAAATCTATGAAATGAAACGATTATGGGTATCGGAAATCACCAATCATATAAGGATGTGATAAAAGATGAAGAAACTATGTCATGTTTGTTCTAAAGTGAGAGATTTAAAGACTAAATTTGGGTTCGACTCATTCGAGTCGATCCACTATCCGAGAGATTGTTCCATCCACTTTCATAGTTTAGAATGATACCCCGAATGCATTAAACTCTCTTGTCATAATCGTGGATTGGATTGAACCGAATTTTTTCATATCCAATCACAACCCATTTGAATGGATGAGCCAATGAATCAAGACATCATATGTTTCCATGGAAATCTTAATCCTAAGATAAACCCATTAGATTTTCACCACATGAGAAACATTAAAAACCATTCATCAAATGTACACAAGCAAACAATCTCAGTCAATGGCATCACTTAAATAATGAACTCTAAATTTTCTAAAATATTCAATCATGAGAGATGAATAAGATAAATATGAAACCATTCATTGCAAAAGAGTTTGAAAGCATAAACTAAGTATAAACACGGATCCAAAGGTGAATACAAGTATTCTTTTTTATGAGGACTAATCCCTCAATCCATAACTATGACTACTTACTAACCATGTTTAAGAATAAAGAAGGGGAGAAACTAAGAACACAAGACATAGACGGCGAACGAGAGATGCTCAATAGGTCTTCAATCTTCTATCCCAAGCAAATCTTCTTGTTCTTCTATCTAAGTTTCGTCCCTAGGGCTTCTCCAAGGTAAGAATTGTCGTTTCTAGCTCTCCCCAAACTGGTCTCCCCCTCCAAAACGCGAAATGATGAACTTAAGTGATTTCAGATCGTGCGATCAGCCGAGAGTGCGGTCTAGCTTTCGCTTGATTACGCCCATCGTACGCCTTCTCCAAATTTTTCATATGTGGCAATTTGCAAGACTAACCTCACGATGTCCATCTGAGATCGCGTGCGGTCATGTTGCCCCTAGGGGAACCAGCCGATGATGGTCGATAAGGTGGTAGGAGGGGATGACCAGCACTTAGATGCAAAGAAGAGCCAAATGTCTGAATTAAAAGAGCAAGAAAAGAATAGATGGACATGACATCCGTTTGCCGACTCGCAAACCTGGCAGGTTATATCGGAGAGTAGTCCCCACCGCTGTAGCCGGTCCTTCGTCGGAAGATGTAAAAGGAAGGCTTTCCATTGCACAAAGCTGAAAAAGAACTCAAGAACTTTGTCTCGTTTTTGCTACTTTGTACAGATTTTAAATAAGGAAATACACAAAACCTTTAACAAAAAAAACAATAAGGACCATGGACGTGAGTCACATAGAGAGAGAGAGAAAGAGAGAGAACCTTCGATCACCCTGCCTCCTTCATCGCGACGACCTCTGTCTCAGGGAACCAGCATCATGATTGGCTCCACCCCATCCAATCGTCGCCCCTTACGCTAAATCACGGCTATGGCAAGGGACTGCCCTCTACAAGCCGCTCCATCTCCGGCGACCAAATCCCTCCAAACCATCCACTTCGAACCAAGCCTTCTCCTTTGCCCAACCCCCAGATCTTTAATCTCGTCCGAAATCGAAAAACCCCCCAAATCTTTCACCAAACCCTAGCCTTAATTTTCGACTGAACGAGGAGGATTTTCCTCCCCTACCGCCTTCGCCCAACCGCCTTTCCCCCCTCACCACGACCCCCCATTATCCCCTCCCTTGGCGAACCCTCATCCTCATCGCTCACTGGCAACCTCTGCCAATGCAGTCACTGTTTCCTCCTTTGCCATTCTTGCGCCTCCAACTTCCGCTCATAAACCCAATGGGCTAGGCATGATGCATCGACTCCGCCTACTGTTACTGTACCAAGTACCTGTTGGTTTAGTGCTCTATGATGTACTGTTTTGTGAGCTTTATTTTGATACATTTGATGTATTGACACTTTCTATGGTTTATGGATGAGTGTTTTATTCATTATAAGTTGTGCATACTTAATATGTTATGAAATCCATGTATTGTTATGAAAAATACTAAACTCCCTAGTCATATGTCATTATGGGAATAATGATATACTAAGACTAGTATGATGTGTGATTGGATCATAGGTATTTGGATACGATCACAATCATAGGTATTCATTGGAGAACGAAATACTGGATTGACCCGCATGAGATTGTCACATGCACTAGCGTCATGACTTAAATCTCATATGGTGATTCCATGATTGGATCCTAAGACCTGAGATATCTACGGAATCCAACATGAGGAGTTGCATACTTTGAATACGTCAAACGTCCTGCGTAACAGGAGGACTATAAAGGCGTGTATCAGGTACAAAACGAATCATGTGCTGGATTGTAGATAGTCAAGACGGGATTTGTACCTCTCGTAAAAGAGAGAGATATCGCTGGGCCCCTCGTGTGAGCGAGACTGTAGAAATGTGTGGCCGCACTATAGACGAACATCGTCTATTTCAGACAGTTGAACTCAGTGAACGAGAAAGCAGTCGAATCATATAAGGTGGCTTGTCCGTGCTTTATGTTCGACATATGATATCGTGATACAAAAGGATCATCAATCGGAGTCATCACTGGCGTTCGTAAGATCACGAACAAACTCTATTCGAGATAGGTAGTCATAGTGTCTTCTAGAGACCGCCTCTGACTTGTATATCCGAAATAGAGATTTCGGGTTATGCTGCTATATCGAATGAGCCTACAGGGTCACACACGCAGGGAAGGACAAAACGCATGAGAAAACGACGGAAAAACCAAGACGGAAGGGTCTGGAACGGACGGACCAGAAGTCCGAAACGGACGGTCTGCCAGGTCCAGACCCGACGGTCCACGACAAGACGCAGACCGTTCGTTCTATGTGTTGGAACGGACGGTCCGCGTTGATAAAAGGGCCAAACCCGACGGTCCGCCAGATCCAGACCCGACGGTCCTCCAGGTCCAGACCCGATGGTCTACAGAAGGCAGACCGTTCGTTCTGGCTTGTCTGGAACAGACGGTCCACGTGTATTTCTGGACCGTCCGTTCCGGATTTCGGGTTTTTCCATAATTAAACCGAATTAGGGTTAAATCACCTTATAAGAAGGAGATTAAAAACCCTAATGGTTAAGAGACTAAGATATCCGTCTGGTGCATACTTTTGGAGAGCTTTTGGTGAGATCCAAAGAGTTCTAAGAGTTCCAAGTCTCGTTTTTCTTGAAGCATCAAACCGGATAGCAGATTCGGGTCCTAGCAGACAAGTTCCAACCGTTGGAATCCATCCCGAGGTGTGGATACATGTAGAGGGCGAGGTATTCTTTCTCCCTTTCGTGATCAGACGAATTCTTCAATTGATACAGGCCCCAGATCGATTAAGGTAAGTGTTCTAACGTTTCTACGATTCATAGAAGCATGGTTCTAGGGTTTTATTAAATTTTTGTTTTACATCCGCTGCGCAAACCCTAGAATCGATCTCTTAGGAATAGGATTCGCTCTAATGATTCCAGGAAATCCAACAGTGGTATCAGAGCCTGGTTGCTCTGTTTTGATTTCGTAGAACCCGATCACGCACGTTTTAAGATTTGAATTGTTTGAATCCATGTTTGCTTTGAATTCTATGCATGTTTGATGATTGAATCTAGTGTAGATTGCATATTTCATGTTGCATAGAGTGAAGGAGTTCGAATTTTGAGTGAACAGACGAATTCGGATAGTTTCGGATCTGATCGGGGCCAAGAACGCGGGAAAACGTGATCTGATCACGTAGACCTACCCTAGACCGTCCGTTCTGGGTAAGCCAGACCGCCGGTCCAAGGGTGACGGACTGAGGGGCTTGGAACGGAAGGTCTCAACTGGACCGTCCGTTCCGTCCACTGCAGAACGTCCGTTCTGCTTGTCTTCGGCGTGGAACGTCCGTTCCGACTACTGTAGTCGAGACATTTCGTTCTGCCAAGCCTGGAACGTCCGTTCTGCATCCAGAACGGACGGTCCAAGGTACAGATTCCGAAATTTTTCATTTTCTAGGTCCGATTACGCAATCGTTGCTTAATCTGATCAACTGTAACTCAAATAGACATGATTCATTCTTATGGATGGTCCATAGTGAATGAATGCATGTAACTTGATCAAGATATGGGATATGCTTGATTGAGTGGGAGCTTTGAGATTGGGATTACATAATCGAATGGATGGTCTATTCGGATTATGTTAATCATTGCACAAAAACCAGTTAGATCTAGGAGCTCTATGAGTAAAGCACTTGTCAAGGCCTCGATCGTACGTATCATGGGTCATGCCAAAGCTGGGTGAGGTAAGATGGAGAAATGGTGGTTC